TTTCTTTTTTTTTCTTTTGTTTTTTTTTTTCTTTTTTTCTTTACGAAATAGAAGATAAACTAACTTACGTCGGATAACGAGACTACGCATTAGGCACGATCACATCTAAGTTCATAATACCATGAGCTCTTCTTCATCCAAAAGAAATTCATATAATTGATTCGATCCAAGGTTCAAAATATGGCATCAAGAAAAAGGATATTATAGCTTATAGTGTGGTTATAAATCAAAGAAATGTCTAAGGCTCAAAGGGGCTTACTAGTGAGTTATGAAAAAGGGTGGGCTTCAAAAGAGTGGCTATAAAGAGAAATGGCAAGACCTAAGTACCCTTATTTAGATTTTATGCATTCAATTTCATCAAAGGTGTACACATAGACATGCATAGCAACGCAAGTTCTAGAAAAACCAACTAGTCGAGACATCACACATTCAAGAAAATGGAGCAAAATACTCAATATATGCTCATAGGCTCAAATCTCACCAACAAAAGGTAATGAGTGTTAATTCCATGTGTCTTCTATCACATAATCATCAAGTAATATTCATCATCATGTAGCATCAAGGGCTCAAACAAAACAAGTGTATGGACACAAGAAAAGAGTTGTTCTACTGAATTGGCCTAAATGAATTGACAATAATCACAAGCAAAATAACAGACAAGTGGTACTAACACATCACTTTAAATATCTAAAGGCACATTCCAAAAGAAAATCTAGAGGACAGAGATACTCACAGAGATGCATTATTGTGGAGGCGGTTGCATTGCACGCAACATCAGTAGGATTTCTCGAATATCTGCCCGCATCTCCATAACAATCAATCTCAAATCCTCATCTCCATCGTGACGCATGGTCTCAACCGGCATAGCAGAGGCACTAGATGTGCGTCTCTTCAGACTCCTAGTACCAGTACTAGGAGTGATCCTACCCGACGTGAATGGTGAGTGAAGCATCTTCAAGTTTTCGGTGCGCCATGGCGTGGTAAGCTGTGGCGATGGCAAGGAGTAATGAACCTTGGGAGTAACGCCCCAAGAGTAGACAGTACCTTCTCGGCAAAGAACATCCATGCGGTCAAGTGTTGCTTCATCAACCTTTGGATTCTCATTAATCACGGCATAGTCGTCAAAGTTTACACCACATGCCTTCGCGATAGCAGTCACGATCCCCCCTACCACAATAGCACCCCTGTTTCGCTCTTGGACTCCGGCCAGATGACTCATCAGGTAATAGCTTGAGCTTAGCTTCTGTCGATTGAGCATAGCCCATAAGAATTCCAACTCCGTCTGACGAACAACATTGCGACTCTCCTGTCGAGCAAAGATGGTTCCAGTCATCACCCGTTGTACGTAACGGAGTGTCGGGTTGCGAATCGAGGTTGCCTTCGCGCTTCTTGCTTGATAAGGATCAGTTTCCACTGTAATACTATGCCAAAAATCGGTATGGCTAAACCCTTCCGGCATTCCTCGTAGACCCCCAGACACAAATCCCAAAACCCGATCAACTTGCATCAAGCTCCAATTGTACTCCTTTCTTCCCAAATGAAATCGAATCACCCCACCGGCTTTACTGTCATTGAACTTGACATGCAAAGAGCTTAAAAATTCGAGTGTCAACTCGGGATAAGTAGGGAGACACTCCGACATGAACTTAGACCATCCTTGGGTATCGAATAAACTCATCACATCTTCTAACATCCCCAATTGGCGGAGAATCACCTCATCCATATAAACACTCGGTAAAATTTTTCTCTTCGCCAACCCCTGAAAACGAGAGTGCTGCCCCTGACCACTATTCTCTTCATATAAGGAATGAGACTCACCGTGTAGTTCACTAGGCTCCACTCGCGGATCGGGTTCCTCTCGTTGTTGGGGCTCGAGCTGTGGCGGTAATTCGGGCTCCAGATTTGTCGGTGGGGTAGCCTTCGATTTAGCTCGTGTCCGCGCCATGATGTCGGGGTCCTACTTGTGGTGAATCGTGAGAAGATAGTGAAAATTTGGAGTTGCTCTGGTAAATTTTTCTCACCGTGTGGTGAAGGAGAGAGACAGTAGAAATTCCCGTTGAGAGAAGTAGAAGAGTTTGGAATGGTGAAGATAAAAATTAGGGCTTTGGCTTTATTCCCTTTTAAACTCCTCTGATGCTTCGTATTTTCCCTTTTTTTTATTTTGACTTTTTTTCTTCCACTTGACATGGCCATGTCAAATAAGTACCAACACCAGCAGTTCCAGTGTTCGAGCAAAATTCCTACACAGAGAACAGAAAAACAAAAGTATCAGACTTTCAGCAACAGAAACAAATTATTTTAAGGCATGGGTACGGCTTAGAAAAACTATCATTTAACTTGTATGGGATTCGCCCGTGCCTTAAAAAAAATCGTTTCCACCTTAAAATCAACCCAAATTCTTAACAAACTAGAGAAATAACAAAAATAAGGCTAACAAAATAAAAAAAATAAAAAAAATAAGAATAAAAATAAAAAAATTGGGTTGCCTCCCAAAAAGCGCCTTTTTTTATCGTCGTTGGCTCGACACAAAGCTCTCGATTTATTCAGAATAAACGGGGTCCTCGAGACCCATTCTTTCTTCATGCTCGGCCTGAAAGTTCTCGTGATATGGCTTAAGTCGGTGTCCGTTGACTATGAAAGACTTCAAGCTCGACGGACTCCGAATCTCAATTGCCCCATGCGTACAGACCTTGGTGACCTCAAAAGGCCCTTCCCATCTTGTTCGTAGCTTCCCTGGGAACAATCGAAGACGGGACTGGTACAAAAGAACTTTTTGCCCAACTACGAATTGCTTTCTCGAAATCATCTTATCATGGAAAGCCTTCGTCTTCTCTTTGTAGATCTTGGTACTCTCATAGGCATCGTTTCTCATCTCTTCTAGTTCCTGAATTTGTAGTTTTCTATGCTCTCCACTTGCATTTATGTCCAGGTTAAACTTCTTGATTGCCCAATATGCTCGATGTTCAAGTTCGACTGGAAGATGACATGGCTTTCCGAATACGATCCGATACGGCGACATCCCTATAGGCGTTTTATAAGCAGTCCTATAAGCCCAGAGTGCATCATCCAACCGTAAGCTCCAATCCTTCCTACTGGGATTCACCGTCTTCTCGAGAATGGACTTAATCTCCCTGTTCGACACCTCGGCCTGTCCATTGGTTTGAGGGTGATATGCGGTTGAAACCTTGTGAGTGACCTGGTACTTCTTCAGCAGTGCCTCCACAGTCCTATTGCAAAAATGTGTTCCACGATCGCTAATCAAAGCCCTGGGGACTCCAAACCTTGCGAATATGTTGGACTTAAGAAAATCTGAAACCACTTTAGAATCGTCAGTCCTAGTGGGTTTAGCTTCGACCCACTTCGATACATAATCAACGGCCAATAAGATATAAATATAGCCAAAAGAGACCGGGAAAGGACCCATAAAATCGATACCCCAAACATCAAAAATTTCACAAAATAAAATAGGATTTTGAGGCATCTCAGTTTTTCGAGTAATGTTACCTGTCTTCTGGCAATGATCACATGACTTACAAAATGTATATGCATCACGGAATAATGTTGGCCAGAACAACCCACTCTCGAGCACCTTCATGGCTGTTCTCTTAGCACCAAAATGACCACCACATGCATACGTATGGCAGAATGTCAGGACCGAGGAGATTTCGTGGTCGGGCAGGCACCGCCTTATCACTTGATCACCACAAAACTTCCATAAGTATGGCTCATCCCACACGTAGTACTTGGCATCGCTTCTCAGCTTATCTCGTTGTGCCTTTGAAAAATCAGGAGGAAAATTATTAATAACCAAATAATTCACGATATTTGCATACCATGGCATTCCAACAGCTGCTGCAAAAAGGTGTTCATGGGGGAATTCCTCTTGTATTTGGCTTGTGTCAGTCACGTGGGTTAAGCGGCTCAAATGGTCTGCCACACAGTTCTCCGTCCCTTTTCGATCTTTAACTTCCAGATCAAATTCACTCAACAGTAGCACCCATCTAATTAAACGAGGCTTTGACTCTTTCTTTGCCATCAAGTATCGAAGAGCTGCATGGTCAGTAAAAACAATGATTTTAGAGCCAAGTAAATAAGAACGAAATTTCTCCAAAGCAAAAACAATTGCTAAGAGTTCTTTTTCCGTCGTAGAATAATTTCTCTGTGCCTCGTTCAATGTCCTGGAAGCATAACATATGACATGAGATGCCCTGCCAAGTCTCTGGCTCAACACCGCCCCCACCGCATATGTGCTAGCATCGCACATGAGCTCAAATGGTTCAGTCCAAATCGGGGGCTGAACGATAGGTGCTGTCACCAGTGCCGACTTTAAAGTGTCAAATGCCTGCTTACATTCCTCATTAAACTCGAAGCTCACGTCCTTCTGCAACAATTGGCAAAGAGGGTGTGCAATCTTGGAAAAATTCTTGATGAACCTACGGTAGAAACCTGCATGACCCAAAAAAGAACGGATCTCCCGAACACAAGTAGGATAAGGTAATGAATCAATAACATCAATTTTTGACTTATCAACCTCTATCCCCTTTGCAGAAATTACATGTCCTAACACTATCCCATGTTCAACCATAAAATGACATTTTTCAGAATTTAGCACCAGGTTAGTATCAATGCATCTTTGGAGAATAAGGGACAAGTTATGCAGACAACTCTCAAATGTATCACCATATACCGTAAAATCATCCATGAACACCTCAATGCATTTTTCAATATAATCAGAAAAAATACTCATCATACACCTTTGGAATGTTGCAGGTGCATTACACAGACCGAATGGCATGCGGCGGTAGGCATAAGTGCCAAATGGACAGGTGAAAGTGGTCTTCTCCTGATCCTCGGGTGCAATCGCAATTTGGAAATAACCTGAGTATCCATCAAGAAAACAAAAATAAGTATGACCGGCTAATCGTTCAAGCATTTGATCAATAAAGGGTAAAGGAAAATGATCTTTGCGGGTCACAGAATTCAATTTCCTATAATCTATACAAACCCTCCACCCGTTTTGGATACGAGTGGGCACAAGCTCGTCATTTTTATTTCGCACGACGGTTATCCCGGTCTTTTTCGGCACCACTTGAGTTGGGCTAACCCACCCACTGTCTGAAATCGCATAGATAATCCCCACGTCCAGGAGCTTCAGGACCTCTGCCTTCACGACTTTCAACACCACCGGATTCAAGCGGCGTTGGGGTTGACGAACAGGTGCTGCTCCTGTTTCCAATAAAATGCGATGCGTGCAAATCGAAGGACTTATTCCCTTTATGTCCGAGATGGTCCATCCCAATGCTTGCTTGTGAGACTGAAGCACTTTCACGAGCTCGTCTTCTTGAGTTTTGGTGAGCTTGCTCGAAATAATCACTGGAAGTGTGTTTTCTTTTCCCAGAAATACATACTTGATATGGTCGGGTAAAGGCTTCAGTTCCTTGACGGGTGTCTGCAAAATGGAAGGCGGGGACTTTTCGTTAATATCGAAAGAACTAATACCGACAGACTCACCTCCACCATTGGTCTCTAAGCCATCATCCATGATCACGTGCTTGTCCAATTCATTGGCTTGTCCTGGAGCAATGTTAGGTAGTGAGTTGTCTGCCAAATTGCTAATGACGTCCCCCATGGTATTATCCTCCGAAAGTGAAAATATTTCCTGAGTCAATTCATCAACCAAGTCAATAGAGAGCACGGATTCATCATCACCAGGATATTTCATGGAATTATATATATTAAATTTAATTAATTGATCATCAAATTCCATGGTAAGAATTCCATTATGCACATCAATCATGGTTTTAGACGTTTTTAGAAAAGGTCTTCCAAGTAAAATAGGAGTAGCAGCATTGTTATTCTCCATATCAAGAACATAAAAATCCGCCGGAAAAACCAAGTCTTTAACTTGAACAAGAACGTCTTCGACCAAACCCTTCGGAAATGCATTGGACCTGTCCGCCAATTGAATGATAACTCCTGTTGGACTTAAAGGTCCGAGCTTCAAAGAACTATAAATAGCATATGGCATTACGTTAATAGAAGCTCCCAAGTCTAACATAGCTCTCTCAAAATGAATTCCACCAATGACACAAGGAATCGAGAACATACCTGGATCTTTGCATTTCGTGGGAAGTTTCCGTTGTAAAACGGCAGAGACATTCTCACTTACCTTAATTTTCTCGTGGCGTTTGAGTTGCTGTTTGCGCTTAACGGTGCACAACTCCTTCAAAAATTTTGCATAGCGAGGCACTTGTTTGATGGCATCTAGCAACGGGATGTTCACCTCGCATCTTCGAAACGTCTCATAAATATCTCGGGTAGGCCCGTCTTTCTCATGTCGGACCAGTGCCTGTGGGAAGGGTGGTTCAGGCTTATACTCGGAATAGGGCGGCTCCTTCTTTGCTTTCGTGCTCTTCTCTTCAGATCCCAGATTAGCTCCCAGGTTGGTTTCCTTCTCCAGTTCAGTTTTCTGCTCAAAGTCATTTTCACTATGAACATGGTCAGCGACATGGCCATGTCGGTTACCCGAACCTGCTGCTTCAAACTGCTGCTCGTGAGATTTCTCTTTTATCTGCTCCAACTCTTTCCCACTTCTTA